GCAGATATCACGGAGTAACACCGCCACCAGGCGAGCAGAGATTGGTATTGCAGTCTGACCATGGCGCAATTTTGACAACAAAGACTTGCATTTCCTAGCGCCATTCGCGACAGCAGGACGTCACAAAGTTGTTTGTAGCCCATGAAATAAGAGTGAATGTAGATGTTTTGAAATGGGCATTGCCACAAATACGGCACAGCAGGGCCCCAGTAAATCTGGGTCAGGACCAAAGCAGATTGTCCGTTTTTATTTCTGGGGGCGTTTGGGAATAAGTATTGAGGTAATGTCTCCAGTGAGAACAGCTTCCGAACATCTTCCAGATCGTGGCCAAGGGATTTATCTCATTCCAGTGAAGAACAAACAGGGCTTCGGTTCAAATTTTCATCGAAACAGCAGAATATCCAACATTTCAGTCACCGGTGTCTATGTTCCCTCAAACAATGCAGCGCTCAGTCGGCACTGCACTGGGTGTGTCACGCTACATTTTAGAGCTCTTGTCTCTGCAATGGTATTCAGAAGTGTGATTGCTACCCACTGAGCGACTGTTGGGCCTTAATATAGCCACCAAGCACTGGATCGATGCTGGCCTGAATTGGATTGCAGGAGAAGTGAACATATTTTGGTACATTGTAAATTGAGATTTTTCGACTCGTTGGGAATTACAGGACGTGGAAATCTGGCAGGGTAGTGGAGTTGAGGGGGAAGATCAGGCATTCGATAGGAAAACAAGCCCGAGGAGTCAACTGTCCTCCTCCCATTCCTATACATTCTTGAAATGTAAGTCCCAGCACAAGATGGACAGAATGTCCGTCTGTTCTCAATCCGTCAGTATATTACCCCACAATTCCATGTGATCTCTCATTGTTTACTAACCAGAAGAGGTGAATGTGCAGACTGTGCAGATAAGGGAAGAGGGGGAATGAGAGGGAGAATTGGGGAAATTGAGCCATTTAGGGTGAAACCATGAAACAACACCAATTCAGTTACTGATATACCAAAGGAAGAGGGGAGGGAGGAACCAGAACAGAACTGAATCCAGGGAAGTTCCACATCTCCTACATAAAAACAGCTGGAGCCAGGTCGCAGGTGGGTGCTCATAGCTCACACCTATAATTTGGAGCAAGTGAGTGAATGAAATGAGATGTTGTTTAATATCAGGATAAGTTCAGCCAGGCAGAGAAACAGTGATGAAGAAACTGGCAGGGACAGGAAACGTGTGTTTTTGGGGTGTAATGTAGATAAATTTACATGGAAAAAGACAAATGTGACTTAAATGTTGCATTTGGGGTTAATTGGAGCTCCCACACTCCCCACTCTCTCCCCCAAAAACCCACACTTCCAACCACCAGGAACACCAACCTCCTGAGATTCCCACAATCACTGATCCCAGTCTTCAGCCAATTCCATTCACTCTAAGTCATTTGAGGGACTCTGCCTGTAGACAGCAGCCCCTCTGTTCATGCAGTGACTTGCAGAGTCATTAAAAATACTGTAGACCCATGAATATCAGCACCAGCTTCTCTTTAATCACAGCTTGGAGCAAAAACTGCATGTAGAAAAGTAACAAATATCTAGCATAAAAATACAGTTATATCTATACATAAAATATTGATAACACAAGTTCTATCATCCTATTAAAAATATGACCAAACACTGGTGGAGTAAATATTTATATGCAAAAGTCACATTTAAATTTACAAGACATATCGGTACAATATCAGTGCAAATATCCAGGATAAAAATACAGATATATCCATACAAAATATTCACACAGAATTCTATATACATTTCATACATATCGGCACCAGCTTCCCTTTAATCACACGCTGGAGCAAACAGTACGTAAAGAAAATGAACAACTGACAGATTCATGTACAAAATATCTACAATACAATTTTATAGAAAAATCATTTACAGAAAATTAACAGTTAAATGTACAAGACATTTCTCCAGATGCAATTATAATCTGTAAACCATCCAGTGTCTGAATTCCAGATATAAAATAGTTGCCGGCAATAATGTAGTTCCTGGCAGCATCACCTCCACGGAAATAAAGTTAACAAACATATCAGAAACTACCTGATGTACCCACTCATTAATTAGTAGGATTATTTTGCAAAATGTCTTGGAAAAATCTCTCTCAGGGAGTGATCAAAAGGTAGGCCCCTAAAAGTGAACCCTGAGACTGTGTTTGGACACAGTATGTAACAGTAATACTGAGATATAATACAAAGAATGAAATACTTGGACAGTTCTTTCCAGTAAAGGGATAACACTTCCAAAGGGAGTTTCTCTCCTGAGACTGTTCTGCTCAGAAGGGTTTGTGCAAAGTGGGAAGTGATTGTTGATCCCAATCCTGAGCTCAAACTTTCCAACAGGAATCTGTTGATCCCCAGGTTCAGTGCACAGGAAACTCAGTACTGGACAGCCCCGTTCCCCAGAAGGTTTTGTTCTCCAGCCACTCCATCCTGATGCTCAGGTGCTGTTGGCACAAGGCTCCGTGCTTCACCTGAACAGCTCACCTCGCTCAAAGGGACACCATTCAATGCTTCATTTCGATTGTTGGAGTGTCGGTTTTGAGCACAATCCCTAGGAGAGAGAATCCACAAAAGTGCAGGTTACATTAAACAGTCCAAGACTTTGGACAAGTGTGTGAAGGAGCTGTTCAGGAGTACAGACCTATGGGAGACATCACTGGGGTAACACACTAATCACAATTTCCAGAGTCATCACAGAAGTTAAAGATTCTAAAGGCTACACAGCATTCCAAACATTGACCTGTCTTTTAGGCCCAGGTTAGTAGAAAGCACAAGCCGGTTTACTGTGTGAAACAATAATTAATATTCATTACAAACAAACACTTGTGATAGGCAAACAGTGATGAACTGTCAGCAGGTAACTGTACCAGATAAGAGACACGTGCACACCCACGATATGGATAGAAGGAAAGACCAGGAAAGCAGTTCAGTTGTTCCTGATCAGAGGATCTGCTGAGAGGATTGTTGCTGATGAAAACATTGCCCCTTGGACTTCCTTCTCCGAAACTCACTGTTTGCAGATGAGAGGGGAGGGGACTGAATCCTGTGATTGCCAGGGTTAGACAGAAGGAGGAGGAGGTTTGAAAAGTGAGGTTTGAGTGAGCAACAACAACTTGTTTTAATATAGCACCTTTAACAAAGGACACAGGAGGGATCAAACAAAATTTGGCAATGGAGTGACAAAGAAAATCAGGCCTCAAGCAGAACTAATATTAGCTGGGGGAATGGGGGTGAGGTGGGGGGAAAGGAAGAAACAAAGAGGGAGAGACAGGGACAGGGGGACATACAGGCAGAAAAGTATGCAAACAAAGAGGTTTAGGTCAGGAATTTCAGAGTCAGGCAGCTGAAGGCAGAGCCACCAATGGGGCAGGAATGGAAATCTCAGGGATACCGGAGCACAGAGATCTGAGGGCTGTACAGCTGAAGGTGGGTACAGATAGGGAGGGCTGCGGCCACGGAGGGATTTGAAAAAAGGATGGGAATGTTCAAATCTGTCCATCACAGTCTGAAAGAGATTTAAATGATGCAGCATCCACAACTACAAGGAGGAGAAAATTTCAACCAGCCGGGGGAAAACAACCTCTCAGCATCAACCCTGTCCATAAGGTGTAGGGGCAGAAATAGGCAATTCAGCCCACTGAGTCTGTTTGGTCAATCACTGAGGCCACATCTGGTCTGATAGTCCTCAACTCCATTTTCCTGCCTTTTCCCTACAACTCTAGATTCCCTTCATGGTTAAATATTTGTCTTGCTCAGCCTTGAATATGCTTATGACCCAGCCTTGACAGACCTCTATACTAAAGAAATCCACAGACTCACATCTGTGAGAAAAGAGATTCCCCTGTCTTAACAAGACCCCTCAGAATATTACGTTTCCACAAGATCGCTTCTTCTTAACTCCAGTGAGTACAGGCCCATTCATCCCAGGATTCTGTTTAATGAAGGAGACCAAGGCTGTACACAGCCCTCCAGGTTGGGTCTTACCCATATCCGATAGAAACTGCAGCAAGATCTCCATCCTCTGACCCATTTGCAATAAAGGCCACCATCCCATTTCCCTTCCTCATTCCTGAGACGTTAACTTGGTGATTGATCTACAAATCCCTCAGAATGACATTCACTGGCCTTTCACCTTGTAAAAATAGTCTTCTTTTCCATTTCTCCAAAGTGGATAGTTCACACTTCATTCTCCGTCTCCAGCCATTGTCCATACATTTATCCATCTTATCCCTGTTTGCAGCCTCCTGTATCCTGCTCACAGCTTACTTTCCCACTGAGATTTGTATCATCAGCAAATTGGGGAAATTCCACTCTATCCCCTCATCTGTCACTGATATGGATTGAGAGTCACTGAGGTCCCAGCACTGATCGTTGCCGCACCAGTTACATCCTGACAACTGAATATGACCCATTTGTTCCTGCTCTGTTGCTTTCTATTAACCAATCCTCAATCCATGCCATATTACCCCCTCCCCATTCCCCCAAGCCCTCATCTTATTGTGTGGCACATTCTCGAATACCTCCTGAAATTACAAATCTATGTCCCATTCTCTAGTTCTCCAGCGGGATAATATTTGCTTCTTTCCAATCCACAGGGACTCATTTATTAACTCATGAATAAATTTATAAAAATTAATAAAGTAATTAACTAAATGAAGATGGCTGGGCAGGTGATGTGCTGTAGCTGTATGATGTGGAAGCGGGCAGTTCCCATTGCAAGCTGCAATGACCACATCTGCAGTAATCCACAGGGACTGTTCAGCAGCACGAGGATGACAAGCTGGAAGTGACTGGATGATGCTGCTCAATGACAGGCTGGATTGAAGCATCCTCACAGCTCAGGGAATGGACAGGGGCAGAGCTCAGCAACATTTCACACAATGTTATACAAAGATGAAAGGGTTACAATGGAAATAGTGGAATATTCCACGACTCACCACCTTTTTTGATTTAGAACGACATAAACCCCAATTGCAATGAAGATAACAATAATGGCAGCAATTCCGATTCCCAATCCAACTCTTCCTCTTGTTGGGACTCCAGGACCTAGAGACAGAATAAAGCCATGAACAGACTGGGACACATGATCAAAACTAATAGCAGAGATCTTCAGCACCCAGTGTTTCATAACCAGCCCCAGTACAACCAGTTTCCTGGTTCATTCTAGTCGTGGAGGACTGTGGGAGGTTAGATCCAAATAATCACACATGCACACAAGACCACCCCACAGCTCCTTGTACACACACACTGCCCCACAACAGAATCAATGCATGCTTTCCAACAGAGATAACTGGTTACTGACCAACTGCAGTTTCCTTTCATTCAATCCAAACATCTCCTGAAATTATTTTAATTTTCAAATAGATTTTTCTGTCGAAAATCCTACAGGCTTGATGACAACGTGTGTGACACCCTGGTCAATATTGCACTCCACTACCTTGATTCCAGGGCTGCCTCCTCCAGACTATCACTGTGCCCTCACCTCTGGTGGGCCTGACCTTCCAATGGGACAGGACATACCCAGGGATGGTGATAGGGGAGTTCGGGATGTTGTGTTATTTCTGTCAGTGTGACTATGTCCCACTGTCTCCCAAGTTGGACCCCAGTCCCTAGAAGTTAGGCTGGGTGTTCATTGCCATGTTCTGATTCGATGCCTGGCTCACAGCCAGTGATCCACTCCATTTTATTGTGGATTTTCCTGTGTAGGGATTTGATAAAAACGGATTGATGTGCTCAGACAATTAAAGAGGGCAGTCAAATGTCCTCCAGGTTAATGTGGGACTGGAGTCACATAGACCAGACCAGCTAAGGACGACAGGTTTCCTTCCCTAAAGGGACATGAGTGAATCAGCTGGGGTTTTACAACAGTTCAACAGCTTCATAGACACTTTTGGGATCAAATCTCTATTTCCAGATTTTTATTGAATAAACTGACTTTAAAATGTAAAACAGCCTCTGATCTATAACTGAATCAGAGATAGTAGGAACTGCAGATGCTGGTGAATCCGAGACAACAAGGTGCAGGGCTGGATGAACACAGCAGGCCAAGCAGCATCAGAGGAGCAGAGAGGCTGACGTTTCGGGCCTAGACCCTTCTGATGAAGGGTC